TCGCTGAAATCTGGTGACAAAACACCTGATGGAAAGGAAAAGTCTGAGTGTAGTGCAGCGTCAATGACGGTGAACAGTTTGTTCGGTTTTATTTTGTTTAACGTCCTACTAGATATCTTAAAAATAAGCCCCTAACGTATACGTATATCCGAAGGGAGCATACATTATTTTGTTAAACCTGTCAAAAAAAATATTTTTTATATTTGGGATATTTTGGGATATATAAAGTCGTCAGAAGTACTTTGAGTTGTCATTGTCGGGTATGGGCACGATCTACGCGAACATTTCACTACTTGTACGTGCATTTTATGCAGTAGACTTTGCATAGCGCTACTATACAGGTACATCAGTAACAGTGTATACGGCCGTGAAATTTAGATGATGCCAAGATATATATTGGTGATGTATTTATTTCTTCTGAATAACAAGAACTTTGATCACTATGCACTGTAAATCATTTGTGTTTCGCGAGGTATTTATTTTAGCGTTAATAATGTGACCTATGTTTTAGGAATAAATAGGTGTGGAAGCGGATGTTGGCAAGGCCCGGTAATGTGTTATTGTTCTGATATAATATGATGAATCCCGTTTCCTTTTCACAAAGATAACAAAAATATTAAGACGAAAAGGAAAGTATAGAGATATTTATAATAAAGTGTAGTGTGTTGTGTTGTTTTGTATTGTATTACGGCCATCGATAATTTGAAATATTTGGGACATAACAACACCGTTAAACATAATAAATCAATCTAACAAGGAAAAATTGCGTAAAAAGAAAAAAAAACCACATCAATTTACAAACGAATTAGTTGTTAAATATGTAATATTTAACCCTAAATTTTGATTAAATGTGAAGTATCGTTCCTGTTAGTACAAGGAAGTCATATCTAGGTTGTGATATGTGACTTTATACAAAGACAGTTAATCCATGTTCTTGACACACATGTAATATTTCTATTTTTTGTTAAGGAAACGTAACAGTTTCATAGAATTTTTAACATTATGTAAACTACTACAGGCAGCATATTCCTGTATGTGAATTTTACCTATAAAGAATTTTTCATTTTTTTTTTCATTTGTTGGTAACAGTTCGCTACAATGGACATGCTACTGTTTATAGGTTTGTTAGATCAGTTTTGTTAAAATTTTGAATACAAGAGTGGTATTGAAATATTTTACAAAATAAGGTTTGGTGTGGTTTGTTTTAGTATTGTTTAACGTCCAATCAACAGCTATGGTCATTTAAGGACGCCTTCCCTGTTTGCAAGCTGCATGCGTGTAGTGTATGCGTGTGTGTTTAGGGAGGCTGCGATATGTTCGTGTTTGTCTCCTTGTGATAGCGCGGAACTGAAGCCGACTTTATAGTGTACCTCACTGAAACATACTGCCAAAGACACCCAGCAGGACACCCCATCCGGTCACATTACACTGACAACGGGCGAGCCAGTCGTCCTACTCTTAAATTGCTGAGAGTTAAGCATGAGTAGAAACTACCAGTTTTACAGACTCTGGTATGTCTCGGCCAGGGGACAGAACCCAAAGCCTTTCTCACAGGGGCGAACGCTCAACTAAAGGCCAAAAGTGAGACATTAGGAAGAAGAAAGTTGTTTAGAATAAGATCCCAAATTAAGTCGCCTCTCACGATCATGCAATGGGGGCAGCAGGTACAATTATTACGCCCTACCTGCAAGGACATACAAAATATCGCGTATGAAAAAGTTTGATCTCCATATAAATGTACGTATTTTAACATGGTTACAACACTAATTCGCCCCCACCCCACCCCACCCACACCCAAAAACATGAGCTTTAAATCGAGCATGAATTTATCAGTGGTAATAATGATATGTACATTTGGATTTGTAGCAGAACTGTAACTCGATATTATCTGATTATGATTACCAGATAACGCAGTTGGTGTAGGCCCGTCTAGAATTTGGAGGGTCCTAAGTTTAAATCCCTGTCTGATCTGTTACATTGTAATAGTAGACAATTTCACTTGTGCCGTTTGTGTCGGGAAAGACACAAACGCTATCCCAAAAACAGACATACGTTGTATATTGTGAATAAGTTAACCCCCTCCCCCCGCCCCCCTCTCCCTCTCCCTATCTCTAAATGTCTAACCCATCATTTTCCTACTTAACAGGGGAAAAGTAACTAAATTTGCTGTATACATTTTAGAAGGGGAGGAACGTGCTGTAATAAGTTTGATTATCTGTTTGTTAATCCCATTGTTTATTACATGCAAATAAAACTTAAAATAAAAAGGTCGATCAATGCGCGACACCAAGAACAATACCCCGTGCCACCATTAACGTGACCACTGAACCAGCCTGTTTCCAATTATATGCACAACCAGGCTCATTGTTACCGGCAGGTATAATACAACAAGGGACTAGAACTGGTGACCGTATCACCTGTGTTCTGATGTGTTACGGATTTAAACATTTAACGATCAGGTCTCATGATATCTTATACATAGTTTAAGCGTTTCAAACAACCCCTTCCTGTACAGTTTAGAAGACGCCCATACATATCAGAGGTAATGTAACTGTCATAGTGTTATATACACGTCCACTTCTTCATTTTTGTAATGGTAATGGCATTTATTGGTTTGGTTTTATGTTTAACGTCCTATTAACTGATAATGTGATTGAAGGTTCATCAAGTCAAGGGTGTAGCCTTGCGAAACCAAAATAATCATTGTAGAATTCAACTGGTAAACTGATTTACAGATGGTGAACAGGAAAACGACGGCTAAGTGTAAACCTCTGCATTGTACACATGTATGATACAGTCGATGATACAGTTGATTTAGTTTGACACGTAACATATTATTGTCATTTAAATTTGCGAAATTCATTAGAAGAATAATATGTATAATAATGAGAGAGAGAGAGAGAGAGAGAGAGAGAGAGAGAGAGAGAGAGTGACATGTTATAATGCCGTTGAACTATTTATATGAAGACATTGCCATAATGCACCGTTCCAGATGAAGTTAAATGTATCACAATTCTATTTTTAAATTCTTGAATGGAGCTTTTAAATATCACTGATCAGGGGTTTGCAATTTTGAGTGACTATACCATCTTTAAAGGGGTTTATTGTGTAATGCATGTTGGTATGTGTGACAGAATCGGTATGGTGGTGTATTGACTCCTTGTGATAGCAGGGATCTAGGGTACGACCTTAAATGACCTAACTGGTAATAGGATGGTTTGGTTTGGTTTATATTGTTTTACGTCCTATTAACAGCTAGGGTCATTTAAGGACGTGCCTTCATGTAAGTTGTGTATGTGTGCTGTATGCAGTGTATATTGATGTATTTGTGGGTAACAGCCAATGTATTCTTTTCTCGATCCCCGACATGCATGGGTGATTCTAGGCGTATTGGTTACTGATTGGACCCATAAAAAGGTTTTACATAAGTTGATGCCAGTGAACTTTCAAAGTAGATTGACGTCATGCATTTGAACAAACTTGTTAGTCGTTCATCCAAGTACATTACTGGCTAAATAGTGTTACCCTACCCCAATTAGTTATTTAGAGGGAGGTTTATAAAGGGTTTTAAATACATTCTATTTTCTCTTAAAAAAATCCCACCAGGGCCATTTATTTGAGGAAACATTATAAAATTAATCCCAGGAACAAATCTGCTGCAATCATTGCGACATTTGGGATCTTTATAAACATTGTATATCTCTTCTTCTATCTAACACAACACTCCGCCCGGTCACACCCCTGCAGGTGGCTATGGGGGATCGGGAAAAGAATGCACCTGCTGTTACCCACGGCATGTATCTCAGGAGGCGAGTAATGGGCAAACCCCCTGCAGAAATGGGGATTTGCTTTGGTGTCCTCTATTAGGAGACACAAAAGCGACCAAAATAAATCTGCTGCACCCATTGCAATATTTGGGATCTTTATCTTTCTTTCTACCTCGAACTACCTTATATTTCCTAGCGCCTTGCTTGGCAACACCTCAGGTTTGGCCTTGATGTTGAGCGTTCGCCCAGGTGAGGAAGATAATGGATTCTGTCCCCAGGCCCGGGACATACCAAAGTCCTGACCACGGACGCAGGGCTCCCGATTCTACAAGGCCCCCACTTTAGTCGCCGTTTTAACCCTTTCACCACTGTAGACCATAATGGACTCATCCAGATGAATGTATGGTAGAGTCTACTCAAGTTACCTAGTGGAAAAAGGGTTAAATAACATGCAGTTAGACACTTTCCCCGTACTTGTTTGTGATTGTTCTGAGTGACCATATGATATCCATATTCATGTAATTATAGGGTTGAGTTTCAATATTGTTTACAATTTAGCTGCAGGATTTAGTTAAATTTGATTTTATGCTCATCATAAGTTTTGGAGTCTGGCTTATAGATATGATGATAATATTCCTGACCTAAAATTTCTTTTATTTCAGATGCATTCATATGATATGAAGCAAATTCGGTAATAGTAGCAGAGGAAACACGATGAATGATGACTTTTTTTAAAAGTTTAATCAGATCATCATTTTGAGAAACAGTGAAAAACTAGTGTGATGAGTACGAACGTGTCAGTATAAGTTTCTGACATTAGGGTTGTGTTCAAATTAAATGAACAGAGTAAAACGTGAACCACCATCCGGCTGAGCGTATCAGTATATATAATTAACTGCTTACACTGCATTTTATTTCATTTTTAATCAAGAAATTAAAAGCAGTTCGCTAGAAGTATTGACTAATCAAACGATACAAAACGATACCATTCCACATTTTGCAATGAAGATTTCTATGCCGTTATCTTTGTTGGTTATAACACTTACCACTGGTTTGTTGATTGTAATCATCACATTCTACCTTGTCAACGGTATAGACCTGCGAAGAGTTGCAAAACACGGGGACAAGATTTTATCCTCCCAACAAAACCAGAAAAGTGGAGTCCATGCACAGGCATTCAATCCTTTTATTTTGAAACAAAACCCAAACAAGTCGTTTGACTACAAGCATGCAATGGCTGACATGAACAGTGCTAAAGTGGACCAGGCAGAACCTCGACTGGTGGAACTCATAAGAGACTACTATATTGAGGCACCTTCTTTGGAGCCGTACAACCTTGACTTCCCCAACAGGTTGGAGTACTCAAACGGGCAAACACCTCTGGTCGACAGCAGACTTAACTATATGGTGAGTAGTTAGGTCAGAGGGCTATTTTAATTGATACCAGACTCGTCTTCTTCGTGAGTATATCGTCGGATCCTCAGACTACTTTTTGTGAGTATATCTTTGGATCAGCAGACTACTTCGGTCGTATCTGACTTGCATGTCGGGTAGCTAGGTCGGAAGAACAGACTTATCTATATGGTAGACGAATTCACTAATTTAGACAACTTTTTACAGACATTTCTTCTTGTTAATTGACCAGTGATTTTTACAGATACTTTCCAGCACTATTTAATCCCTTCGAATTAGGGAACACATTTTGTTGTGGTGGGGTTTTAGGACGTGCCTTCATGTGTCCAACGTATCCATGTACCGTTGTTGACCAAAAGCAAGTTCGCAAAATGGCAGTTGTAAAATTGAGTACGCCGTAATATGTCAACATTGAAATGAAAACAAAACACCAAAACGAAGTTTGACCTACCTTAAGCAAAACATAGTAAATTGTCCCCTAGATCATAAATATGAAATATTCTGCACGGCAAGCTTTAAAAACTTTTAAACGTGTATAAAGTGGAATACCGAATACGATACCATTAACTACCCGTTTTAAGTTTTCTCGTTAAATCGTCTCTTGGATTCAGCACCCGCAACATGTTTTCAATTGAATTGAGACCCGGACTTTGTGCTGGCAATGTGGAATGTTATTTTTTATTTTCTATCGACTTGATGCCCCGTAATACGGAGCCCCCGAAGGGACATGGTAAAACATTGAATAATCCGTGCGCACGAGTTAACAAACCGTGCACACGGATTACCAAACCGTGCGCACGAGTTACTTATCTGTTCGCACAAGTTACCAAAAGTTTGCAAGTGTTTCTATTTCACATTATTCTATCAAATTAATGGATGTTGATGCGGGGATACATCCAATATCGGTTCGATTTGTTTTGATGTTCATAAGAAGAGGTCAAGTACAGTGGAGATTTCTTAGATAAGAACCAGTAGCTGTTTTGCTTTATGGCTCAAACAGGTAAGATTGTGATTCTTGTTTTTCCGTCAGAACACAGTATTGTGTTGTTCACTCAATTTGGTTAACATCTAATCACCCTTACCTCCGCAAGGTGTTGATGTACACGAGCTCAATTTATCACGTTATGAAATTGTTGACGTTTTGATATTCCTTCCATATAGTATGCGAATTTTCCTAATGTTTCGTTTAGTTGAAATAGGATTTTTTAAGGTTAACTATGAAATTTAATTAGATAACTTTTGACATGACGACGGAATATTCTGAAATATCTGTTCCGTGCACAGTTATAAACCTGATTTACAAGAAATGAACATTTTAGTTTATACTTACAATACTGATAAATATATGAGATCTGAATGATAGGTGTCACGCATTGTAGGTACGAATTACCTGTGGTGAGTGTCCACCAGGTAGGCAATTATACTAATCCTGCTACGTAATGTGACGGACAATGTGTAAATGATTTATTCTAAGAAAGTTCGTATATGTTATACTTTAGAGGCTTTAGGATAAAAAAAAGCTCCACACGTAAGTCTCACCTTAACTTTCATAAATAAAAAAAGATACTGGCAGATAGAATTCCATCGAAATGTCTTTTAAACTTAATTGTAAAAAGTCGTCGTAAAATGAATTTGATAATAAATTGTGAGATTAAAACTCTTAAGAATAAGCTTGTTAATTTTTACTTTCCAAAGTGTGGAATGATATTTTTCTCACACCTAAAATAGATATTGCGGTTGCATGAAACACAGGTGTTAGTTGTATGGTTTTCCAGCAAATCCAATGAGTTATAAATATTTTCTGTGATGTGCCATTGTTAACGTAACGTAAGTTCATTGATTACATATGCATCCTAATTGGGAAATCCTCTCGTTTTTTCCCTGACCGGGAGTTTACATTTTAAGTCTTTTTAATGCCGTTTTTTTAGCCCGGAAATACAATATTGTAGACCTTAGTGGGAAATAGCCTCATGCAGAAAAGCACGCTTTTTGTCATGCCATAAACATGTCGGCGATATTCAATGACCATCTGTACTTTAGTTTATATGCATGTCGGACTACAGTCGATGGAATTGTACCTGAAAGTAAAAGAATGTCCCATCAGAGGTTCTGTCAGAGTTAGAAAACCAAATAATCACTCGAGGGTTGGGCATTTCTGTGTAACCCTGTTACGGCACGATTTCTCACCCGGGTGAGAAATCGTGCTAAATCGCTGCGTGCGTTATCGACATGATTTCTCACCCCTGCACAATTTCTCCCCCAGGTGAGAAATTGTGCAATCTATATGGGCATAGGCGACACGATTTCTCACCCCAGCTCTATATCTCAACGTGGAGACGTGAGTCATGGGAGGGCCACGTAGTCCTATAAGTCATAGACTGTCACACAGACGTTTGATAGTCCTGACGAAATTACAAAATGATGACGTCAGAGAAAGGCCATGCAATTGCGTGGGTGGGACCACGTAGTCATATGAGTCATAGACTTTCACTCAGTTAATACGTTGAAGATTGATAATCCTGACGAAATTACAAACGGAATGATGACGTTAGAGAAAGGCCGTGTCATTGCATGGGTGGGGAATCATCGTGAACAGATCATTGGTCTGTGAGGTCCGTGTGGTTCCGGCCATTAGCGTATCGTGTTCGCATGCAATAAAATGGACCTGTCTTTTTTATGAAATATTTTGGACAACATGCACAAACAAATCAATTAAGTTAAATGATAACTAATATGTCTTTATCGAAGAATGTCTTTTGTATTCATTATTTATCTCTGTTAGGATTTTAAATAAACTCTTACACTGTAAGTCGAGATATTACTCATCCGCTGTCCCGGCTGTAGTAACCCAATACATACATGTGTGATTTGAACCTGCTCAACAGGCATCCCGTGGTATGCAATCTGATCGTTATCGTGGTGTAGCGTTGTAGCCTTTCACGCTGTCATTGACTATGTCAATTTGATTCACCGCCCCCAACCAGCAATGCTGGCATGTGTGTCTTATCAATAGCTCTGACTCTTCGGGTTCGCATGTAATACAATTGACCTGTTCATTTTTAATGAAATATTTTGCACAGCATGTACAAACAAATCAATTAAGTTAAATGATAATAAATATGTCTTATTCGAGGAATTATTTTTTATTCATTAATTATCTCTGTTAGGGGATCATGACGTCAGAGGGTATGGCCTTACTATGTACACGACACGTGTGGCTCCGCCAAGTCCCGGGCATTGTCCAGTCGCGTGCGAAGTCCTTGCGTGGGAGTGGCCCTGTCTAGATTCAGAGGGGTTTCTGTGAAGACCACGTGGGAACCCGAGTCGTAGGAGAGCCATGTAGTAGTCCTATGTTTCATGGTCTGATACAAGAGTTGACGGTTAATATTCTGACGGAATACAAATCTGCACGGAATGATGACATCAGAGAAAGGCTTTGCCATTTCTTGAGTAAGGAATCATCATGAACGACCGGGTCATTGGTGCGCGAGAGTTTTGTTCCGCCTAGTTCCGATCATCGTGCTGTTGTGTGGTTTCGGTGCCGGTCACTTGGAGGCGTAAGTCATACTCGTAGTCCAATCAGATATGACAGTCGACCAGGGTAACGCGAGTCATATGACACGGATTCGACGTGTTGGGGTGGACGATGACGTTTTTATCATACTTATGTCATTGACAACGAAAGGTTTCGATCTAACAGTCGATTGTGTGGGCGAAGGAAACATGAGTCATAGAGAGTCAGACAATGAATACGCAAGAGTTGACGTTTAATCGTCCTAACGGAATCGCAAATCTAAACGGAATTATGACGTCAGAGAAAGATTATGTCATTGCGTGTATGGGGAATCATCATGTGCGACATGTGTGTGAAGTTGACGATTTGTTTCTAAAATATCAGACTGAAGAGCGACCCAGGCGCGGGTCGCTTATTTCCCGCATATTATAGAGGGCCGGAGTTCTGACGTTAATCGACACCAGACCGATATAAAAAAGACGATAAAACGTCAGAATAATTCGGACTAGAATCATCGGTGCGTGGGTGTTTGTTCCGCCCGGTTCACGTCACCCCCTGACATAACAACAACTTCGTATGCAATAATATTGACGCGCATGATTGTTTTAATGAAAATTCTGGATTACAAACAGACCAATTAAATTAAATGATAATATATACATATGTCTTTCTTCTTATTCCAAACGTGTACCTTTTCTTCATTAGTGATCTCTGTTTGGGTTTTCAACCACCTCGAAAGATGAATTTCGAGATAATACAGTATATTATCTACTTGAGGCGTACATCCTTTGTGCAAAGATTATACCGTGTTGTTCCGGCGGTCTTTAAGCCTTTCGATTCACAATTTAACTAGAACACTGACAGGTCAGTAAGGGCCCCGTCTTGTGGCAATTATATCCCCCATAATCATTATGAAGCAATCTGCCTATATAGCTGAGCTTGACGTCTGACATTTGGACTTCAAAAAGAATCGCAAGGAAGCAAAATATACATTTTACATGTACTATGATGTGATGCGTTTCCTTCCACCTCCATATTTGCTGGGCTAACAGAAATGTAATTTCTGGTGCAAAACTCATTTGTTAGCTTTGATTTGTTTTATTTCACCTTATATACCTTCTCTATCAAGAGCCAGGGTCAAAGTCAGAGATCCACTTTGTCTTGGAGTTTTGGACCCAAATGACCTTGACCATTAGCCCAGTGACCCTGATCTTTGGTCTGTTGACATATTCTTTAATTCCGACCAACTTAGCTTCTTAATATCACAACAAAATGTTCATCAGTGAAAAATACAAAACTTGACCTTGACCCTTTGGACTCAGTAACCTTGAACTAATGTCAGTTGACTCTGTGTAAAGTTCTGAACAACATTGCTTCATAATGTCATAACAAAATGTTCATCAGGGAAAAGGTACAAAATTTTAACCTTGATCTTTGACCAAGTGACCTTGACCTGTGGTCAATTGACTCCTTGTTTCAT